ATGTAAGTTTTATATAAGTTGTATGCCGTGCCCCAGAATCCGTCGTCGTTGCGGCGAGGGCTGTTCGTCAGGCGGCGCGGGCGGCGCGTGCGAGGCGGCGGCGGCCGAGGCGGGCGCGGCGCGGCCACACACGCCGCGACACAGCGCGCTGCATCTGTCCAGGACCTCGCTCGGTGACTGCACGCACTATTTCATTTATAGCATGGAGATAAAACCTCAAATAAATATGGACATGGAAACGAATAAAGTCCGCGTTGCCTTTTAAAGACTTTAAAAAAGACGGAGGTGCTATGTCTGGATTATAGCTTATTTATATATTGTTTATTGATTAACACGGTATACACCATTTACATTAATCAAATTAAATTACAAAAAATATAAAAAAAAAACTATGCCGTAGCAGTGGAGTCTGTAGATTGATCTGATTTTTTTTCACATTGATCATAATTTTACTAGATATCTCCGTTTAATTATTATATTATCTAATTTCCGATACACATTCCAGCGGGCACGCGCGGTAGTTTAGCCAGTGCGGGCAAACCGACGTCGTCTACTCTAGCGTCCCTGGCAGGACTACTGCGGGACCATTCGCACGACAGACCGATAGACCGCACGCACGACGACTCCGGTATGTTATCTACATAGCTTTGATTGATCAAATTACCTATATTATTTTCGACAAAAAATTAAAGTGTATAAATTATTACTAGTTACCAACAAAATTATTAATCATTAATTTTGTTTCTAATTATATTATCTTTGCCTATATAGAAATTCAATTTTCTTGCCCAAAAACTTAGGTATATAAACAAACAATTTTTTGCGTGTTTAGTACACAAGGTGTTGTTTTAAAGCCGCGTTATTTTCTAGGGGGTAACAAAGATATGGATTCTGAGTCCTAATCAATAAAAAAAATGTAGGTACATATTTTTCATTTTTCTGTAAATTACGGAAATCCGTAAGTGCGAACTACACGCTGCCGTTTTGTAACTTGCTTTATAACGCGGCTTAACACACACAAACTCAAACACGTAGTTGATATTATTTCAAATTCCACGAAACTCAAATAAGAAAAATTGCTGTCGCTTATTCTGAAATATGTCGAACTTAAATGATTTATTATAGCCGTATGTTTAACTATTGGAAACTTTCTCTTACATTGAACCTTTATGACTTCTGTGACATGTCCCCGAGAAATGACACGGCTTCAAAACTGCACCTTGTATATCAATTATGTTTTATTATTTATTTTAAATAAGTACTATGCATTATAATTTATGTATATTTTAATAACACAAAATTATAAACTATATTTATTTGTTTTTGCCGAAACAAAAGGACTAGATATATTGAAGATATATAACTGTGAGTGGTATTTGTATTAATATGTAGCGAATTTGTATTAGTAGTAGATGTACTCACTAGAATGAGAGAAGATAGAAAATTGGAAAGCTGAAAACTCATACAGTTTGTTTATTTTCACTTCTTCGAAGTTGCTTATGGAGTTTCTATCTTTGTCTTATAGTATAGTAGTTTATTTTGTAGCATCATTTCATTAATACAACAAACACAAGTGTTAAAATTAAGTTAATTATAATACTTATTTTTACTTGTGTTTCCACATTCAAACCGAAAGTTATTCAGTAGAAATGTACAGATTATATGAGTTGGGTAATGAATTGTGTGTGTTGTATTGTAGCCGCGAGTGGAGTGGCGGGGGCGGCGGGGGGCGCGGGGGGCGCGCCGCGCGGGGCCGACCGCAGGGGGCGCCCGCGCGCCGCGGGGAAGGAGGGGGGGCGACAGGTACGTACAGTTCTAATAAAGTAAACAGATGGCCTGATAAACGTTACTAGGAACCACTATATGCAAGTCGCTCTAATATGTAGTTGCGTGAATCCTTCTGGAAATCCTTGTGGAATCTAGAACGAATTTCCGTGCGTTTAGGCGTTTTTGCCATACATCTTCTGATTCATTTCGTTGCGGGAACCAAGACAGTTACTCATGTCCCTGGGACGCGCTGGACTTCAGTATTCCGGTGTTTTCATGGTTGTATCTACTGTAGATCCTGGCTTACAGGAGTTGCAGCGGTTTTGGGAGATTGTGGCGGGCTTGTCCCATAAATAAAAAAAAATGTAGTAGCGTGAGACCTATGGTTAGCAGTAAACATCCATAACCGAGTCATTTGTCATTAGTCATTTTGTGAGGTGTCTCGCAGAAATAACATTTATGTTAATTCACAAATGATTATCCCAAGGTTGGATGTAATTTTTTTGCAGAATGTTTCTGTATTTATGTTTCTATATACACGTACATCTTAACATAATAAAAAATAGAGGAAGACAACATATTGTCACTAAAATAAGCAATATGTGAACCCCCAGAGCGGCCCCCGCATGCGTCGCGCGGCGCCGGCGTCGTTCCGCCTGCTGGGCGCGGCCGACGGCGCGCGGCTCGAGCCCGGCGCGGGCTCCTCGCAGCCCAACGACGACACGCAGGTATATCTACCGCTAGTTTAGTGTTCAACTACATTACTTAAGCTTATTTACTTATCTTATAAAAAATTACTGTCAAAATGTTATGAACCAAAATGCTCCATTTTTTTTATGACATCTTCAACTTTATGGCAAACTGTTTAAGACACAAAATTGAGGTAACACATTATGAAATTTGAGAAATGTTCACAAATCGTAACATATATTATCGTTGGTCAGAGTGCGGCGGGCAGTAACTGGGAGTGCGCGTGGCGAGACCAACCGAGACGGGCCGCCAGTGCTAAGGTAGGTCAAAATAAAGCCACCCTCAAATATCAATATAAATATAAAAATACCACGAATTAATAAATGACCACATTTCATATAAGAAAAGATTTTTAACGACGTCTTCTAAAACATTCTATTGGTATTACCGTTGCAAACGCCTGATGCCAGTCAATTTACGTGTCAAAGTAAAACTGATACAGTGAAACCTGGTTAAGTGAGACATCAAGGGACCTGCTATGTCGTTTTACTTATAGAGGTATTCCACTTACTATGTGTCTCAGATATACAGGTATAAATAAATATCTGTGTCATTTACAGAGGATTCTATTAATAGAGGTGGACTTGGAATTACGTGTGGAATTTGTGGGTAGAATAAGAATAAGTAAACAAACAATGTTATCTCTAGTTACAGAGGTTTATGCAAATAAAATTTACTCGCTGTCTCAGATATAGAGGTAACTATGACGATAAATCGAAAGAACAAATCCCAGATATATAGGTTTACCTCGTCCCACTAACAGAGGTAATTCAGTGCCAAAGTGTTGGGACCTCGGCATGAGTTCCAGTTATGGAGGTTTCTCACTTATCCACGTCCCACTTAAACAAGTTTCACTGTATTAACATTCATACCACCAGGTATCCAGCAGTAGAGGAGGTCCAAGCGCCGAGTCATCTCTGGAGGACCTGACTTTAACTCCGACAGGTCTAGACCTGTCTCTGCCGGACTGTAAGATCATCGCCAACAGAAACGCCAGGCAAGACAGAGACTTTAAAAGGTATTCATGCACGATCATCATTCATTATCATCGCTTTACTTATCATTACGTCAACAAAGAAATTTTGTACGGTTTAATTGTATCTCTTTGAATATACTTTAAGTGTGGGAGAGCCATGCTTCGGCACGAATGGGCCGGCTCGACCGGAGTGATACCACGGCCTCACAGAAAACCGACGTGAAGCAACGCTTGCGTTGTGTTTCGTCGTATGAGTGAGGTTACCGGAGGCCCAATTACCCTCCCCTTCCCCAATCTCCCCAATTCCTGAATCCCCAACGATCCTCAAACTCTTAATCCCCAAAAGGCCGGTAACGCACTTGTAACGCCTCTGGTGTTCCGAGTGTCCATGGGCGACGCCGATTGCTTACCATCAGGTGATCCGTCTGCTCGTTTACTGGCTTATGCCATAAAAAAAAACCTAATATTATATAGCTACAGAAGTTATGCAAATTGAAGTCTGTTTGAAACTTGAAAATTGTACTGACTGGATTTCTTTTAAATATAGTATAGTCGTCTACTTATACTTTTCTGCAGTACTACGCCAAGTGAGGAGTTACAACTTTTTAGTCAAATACATTGCATGTATCTACTACCTATTCAATGAATGTATTCATCTCTGTGTTTTAGACATAATATTAATAACAATTCCACCAATTCTCTACTCAGAACACCGCTGTAACCATACCATGTCCATATACCATCTTAATTATTTTAATTTATAATCCCTTCGCTTTGAATGTGAGTGTGCGAGCGACAATTAATTTCTCACTGACATATTCATAATAACATTTTCACCAACATTTGAACGTATAAAATAAAGTATACTTACAAAATAATTATGTTAACAGGTACTATGTCAATGAAATGACTCCGAAAGACTTGTCGAAACTCAGTAAAGAGATTCGACACGAAAGGGAGAGCTATAGAGAGCTAACAGGCCGCTACATAGAGAAACCTGAAGCTATACCTCTAAAGGAAACCCACTATTCAGACTTATCAAACAAAGAATCGATACTCAAGAAAGAAGCTAAAAAGGACTCTAAAGCCAAAGAAATAAAGACTAAAATTAAACGGTCGGACTCTGGTAGGAGTGAGTTAAAAGTGAATGTCAGTGTGGGCAGTAAGGTGTTGATAATAGAGCCGCTGGGAGTGTACGACTGTATCAACTTGGGGAGGAGGATCGACGTACAGTGGCCCTCCGAGGCCGAGAGGGAGAGGGGGGGGCGCAACTACTGGGGGACTTGGGTGCCCCTCGCCGGGATGGACGGACTGGTGAGTTGAGGACATATTTGTTATAGCTATTCTATCGGCGCCGTGGATATCGTAAAAAATCGAACAGAATTTGTCTCATGATATTAACCGCAATCATTTTAAACAAAGAACCTTGACGGTCAAACCCATTCCTCTTAATAAGATTCTACACTGTCCAATGAAAAGATTTTTGCTCGATCTTACTACTAATATACACTCTGGCGCTATCTTTAATATGTAACCGACTGTAAGAAATTTTATTGTGACTATCCCAAAGCAGATCTTTTTCAAAACTGCTTTTATACTAATAAATCCTATGTTCCCAGGTGGTACACAAATGGACGCCCAACCACAGAGACCCCAAGCTCCGCTCCCACGTCGACAAGAGCATACTACTCATACAAATTGACGACAAATTCGTACCCATAGCCGAAAACTGCGTACAAGACCTCGGCGACGAAGTCTGAACCTTACACCTAAAAACACAAGGTCGAAATCACATCAGACAACATGTATGAACATTTCAATATATATTATTACAAGTCTGAACCTTATATGTATAACAATAAGGTCGATAATACCTTCTTTATAGGAATCTTTGACGATAGAAACTCTGTTTAGATAAATTGCATGAGTCCTGACAGTTGGGACGCTTGCACGATCTCGGTGTTGAATTATGAACCTTATGTGTACAGTAGTAAGGTGTGTTATGCTTATGTTTAATTAACGCAACTGATGCAGTTCCTTTTAAAGACTTGTGACGTAATTAATGATTTATTGAGTTAATTCTAATCATATATTTGAGAAATTGTTTTGTATCTGTTGAAAATATTTCTTTAATTGAAATCTTACGGAGTCGCGGAGTTACCGGGGCTCTGGCTCGAAGCGCAGGAGTAGAAATGGGATGGTTTTTAATCAGTAAGAGTCTGACGCTCCCTCCCGCCTCACCCAAGCGGGAGAAGTCAATCGATGATTATCCCCCTTAAAAAAAAGATTGAAATCTTATGTTCTTTATATATTATTATATACCTTATGAAACCCTTATGAATTATACATACACCTATAGCATACAAACAAATAATATATGTCTGATTAACAAACCAACAGTTTCAAATATTGTGATTATAATTATCTCTGTAAGTCATTAATTATGCTACAAGGTACAACTAATATTATGGTGTTATCATTTTAAAGGTGATAGGCAGAAATATAAGACCAGCATACTAAGTTATATTATCCAGTATAAGAAGCTCCATGACGTCATTTATATCTATTACCGTGGGAGCTCTACTTAAACTGGTCATGTTTAGTTCTTGTTGGTCCGTTCTTTATTATGAATGTCACAAAACATAGAAATATAAAAATCTTATGACAACTATGAATAAGTTTAAATGGAATAGAAAACAATGGATTTTCAACCTTACCTCTTAACGTTAAAGTTCATTCTCCTATGAAAATTTTGTTCGTGACAGTTGGTGTTAATCTCAGTCTTATTTCGTAAGTAATAAGGTTGGTAATACACGAAAACAGTTCATAGGATTTGAAGTCGTCCACGATCGACTTAAAATGTTTAATACATGGATATGAAGCTAGCTAAATTGTCTACCATTATATTGTAATACATAGACCAAAATTAAATTCAAATGTTCACTAAATAAAATAAAAAGTATGTAGTTCCATCTCTCTCTGTTATGAGTATATAGAAAGAGATAGAACATGTTCATTTGGTTTTTTTATTTAGTGAATTTTTAATGATATGGTTGAAATTTAAAGGTGGAGCGGGCAACAAAAAAATACATAGGTGATCTCAAAGCAATGACTTGTGTGTCTTTTTATCATAAATCACAATCTCCAAGCTTGGCAAATTGTTTGGAGATTTTAAATACGTTGCCCCACACTTGGATTTTCTCCTGTGTCGTGGGTGTGTTTACAAACATACAAGTTCACATACGCAATGACACCCAGACACGGAACAACAATTTGTGGATCACACAAAGTTGTTCCGTGCGGGAATCGAACCCGTGACACGTTGCACGGCAGCCGATTGCCCAGCCACCGCACTAACCGTGCAAGTTGCAATTAGGTCACTGAAATTTCGAAGACTATGTTAAAACTGACAGTCTTGCAGTAGTTGGTCATACTTAGAAAAAATATACAAGAGTTGCCTTCTCCACATTTCAATTGCGAACCTATTTGGTATAAAGTTACAGAATTATTTTCCACGATTTTGGTATCTGCCATTAGTGTCAACTAGATGTAATATACGACCGTATTATTATTATTAAGTTGCGTTCTAGAGTACCATGTGTAAATAAATATTGACGGTTGTGGCGCAAGTTGGACTTTTACGACTTTAATATCAGTCATGTAAAAAACATAATATATACGGTATAATTGCGTACCTCCTCCTTTTTTGAAGTCGGTTAAAAAGTATCTTCAGGGAGAACGCTCTACGAAAAATCTTCCACCGATATTGAACTTATTACATACGTCCTGATTTATGTCCCGTGTATGGCAATAGGGGGCGCTTCTTACTGGTCAAAATAGTGTTACAAATTATTCTGAGACGTACTAAATTTATTTAAAAATGAAGCTTATTTAAGTACAGTCCCAGCAGCGCACGTTGCTCACAAATATAATTTGACTCGAAATTAGTCGAGCCATTCTCGAACCCTTCACGTTAGGTATATTGTATATTTCAATTGATGTAGTTTTTCATACCTGTCTACGTCTCAGCGATTAAAGTTGAGCGGTCTATTGCCAAGAAATAGCACAAATCTGAAACTAAATTTTACTGAAACTATTTCTAAAATAATCGTCGATTTCAATATCTGTTGAATAGAGTAATGAAAGAGTATAGAAAAATATATTAGGTAAATAATATTTGCTGATTGTTTCTTGCCAATTTATAATGCTCGTTGTCACATACATGAATATTTACGACAATTTATTCATCTATTTACGTAATTAAATATTTTAATAAAATCTTGAATTAATGATTGCTACGTTTAAGTGGCTGATTGTTTTGAAAAATTGTGGGAAAATTGTTAACAAAAGAGTTGTAGCAAATGCCCGAATGAAAAGAATTTATGATATTTTAAGTATTAATTAAATTTATTGAAATCGTTATTGACATCGTTTAACCCTTTGAGTACCGTCATTATAGTCATAATTAAAGAACAATAGGTTGCGGTCACCAGTGTCCTCGCGGTGTTTCACAGTTTTAAGTATAAAAAAAACAATAAATACCATTAGATCTGAAACAAAGGAAAATAAAATTCAGAAGCTTTTACGTAAAAGTCTACAACGTCTTGCGACCACAACCAAGCTTCGTTGTGTGTGTAGCGTTAAATTGTAAATATTTGTAAATAATGTAAAAAAAAACAATGAAAAAATGTATATTCTCGTCTCTTTAATATATTATTAAAAACATCTTATTACAGTACATAAGTAGAAACCTTTTTTATTTTTGTTATCAATTATTTTTTTTTTATCTAAATTTGTTTTGTATAAAATGCTGTTCACTCCAAATATCTTTTAGTCTGACACCAAATGAATGTGTAATGTGTATTTAAATTATTTATAAATTATATTAGGTGGCTGTGTGTGTGCTGTCAAGTTAAATAGTCTTGGAAATACTAGAAAATGTACAACAAACCCAAAAGTAAGTGTTTTTGTCCAAAATGATATTATGTCTCTCAGGTTCATTAAAAACATGGTACCTAATTTATATTCTAATATAGGAGAACTAGGTTGATTTATTACTGAGGTCATCCATAAAACGGACGAAATACTAACAATTATAAGAGTCAAATAATCGGTATCGAAATCGAGGAGATAACTTCACGATTCAACCGATAGCCACAAATTACTTCTAATAACAAATCCTGGTCACCTCTAAGTTTTCTAAGAACATTTAACTGGAATTATTGCTATACACACAGTACATGTATTTGTTCACTGTTGTTATTATATTATATATACTATAGTGCATTTGATATATTATCACTCTATAAGTATATGTATTGTTTACAAAAATAATGGACAAATTATAATAATGACGTTGAGTTTTGCGAATTTAAAGGGGTGTGAAATTGTCAATGTTATAACTTATAAATAATATTGTTTCAGTAAAAACCAATGTTAAGAAATAACACTATATTGTTAAATTAATACTTTAGACCAATTACAGAATATAATAAACTATTCAACACTCGAATATTCAATTGCTACTCAGTTATAAGTTGAATTTTAATGTCGTTCTATCTCCGTCATATTATAAACAATTTGTAGTGACAGAACTGTTTTTAAGGGCGACGTAATATTGAGTATTTGACCACAAAAGCCCTAACCTTTCAAAAGTATATGCTACAGGTTGATAAATTTCACAATATTATATTGAATTTAAAAATAAACGATCTGTATTCGTTCTAAAATATGTAATAATTGATAGATTTCACAGAATCCCCGAAGCGTTGAAATAATTTAAAAATTATAATTCAATTGTTCACTTTATATTATCGTCGCTGTGTTGTTTGTTGTCTGCTAATGAATTTACAACAAAATATTCTTTATTAGACCATTTTTTTTTAAATCTTTTACAGTTTAAATAATATAATAACCTTTTTGCTTTATAAAGTTGGATAAATATAACTAAATAAACCAAAATTGACTCAATATCAATGATTTTATGTTGGATATTTAATAGTACTAACAAATATTATGTGATTTATTAGCAGATGATAAAATAATAGATAGGGACTCTACTGCACTCTTCACTTAGACACCCTGTGTCTCTTGTGGTATCCGTTCGCGTTTACATTTATTTCGTTTCAAATATCTTCAATAAACAGATTAAAAAAGTTTTTTGTTCTGAATTGTTTGAGTACATTTTATGAATCAATTATGTATCTCATGCCGTATGATTTTATTGACACAAAGTAGCTTTAATTTATGTAAATGGGAAATACTATACCAATACTCGTAAAATACTAAAATAATATGACAAAAACACTAATCAATATTTTTAAAATTTAAATTTTTCTCGTTTTTTCATCAACGCGAACGTACCACAACTAATATATGAGTATATATTATATTCTCAAGTTGCCTTAATATATTTTAGACTGATTTTTTATATCGTGATGTGTGTCAAGCAGATATAGATAGTTAAGGTGAAAACTGCGCTTGTTTCGTCATTTTAATGTTAAGGTCGCAGTACTTATGAACTTGTGTTTGGGCGGTTTACTCATATACGTTTGATGCCGACAATGGTATTTGTCGTCTTTATGGAAATTAGAAATATTTACAACACAAAAATTCAAGAAAATTTTGTCTAATTATCTTACATATACTATGGTCAGTATAGAACATTTTTCATCTTAAAATGTTGCCTGTACTATGCGATATTTCTAATTTGACATAAAGGCGACAATAATTGCCAGATTAAAAAATCCGAATTTATATTTATTACTTTGCAAAAATGATATAGCTCTGTGTTGATGCTTGGTATATTCAGTGTTAGTCTAAATTGAATCTTAATGCAATGTAAAAGGGTAGATGTTTGTACAGTAGAATGGCACGATCCGTCCACAAGTGATTTTTTCTGCATATGCGAGTTATTTTTGTCTTCATTCAATTTGTTTTTTTATTGATATCGACAATAATATTTGAAAATAGGTATTAATCTTAAAACTATAACAAAATTATTGGCTATTTATTATGAAATAGAGCCCTTTCTGGTCAAAAGAGTAGTACAGCGGGCAGCAGGTCAACCGACTGTCTCTTTAAATAGAGTTTCAACTCTGTAGCTTAGAAATAAAGTCGAATATCCAATGACAATTGAAACACTATACATAGAAAATATCGAGAAAATTACTACTTCTTATGTAGATC